GTCCTCTCTTGTGAGCGGGTCAAGCTCCTCAAGTCTTGACCACACCGTCGATTCCTCTGATAGTGGCGAGCTGACCGGTCCACTTGCCGACGGTGTACAAGTTGCGCATACGCTGTCTAAGTGCACGGGCTAGGCTGGTCCAATGGCGGCACCAGCTGGGCGGCATAATCCTCGTAAGTTTTGCGAGAATCAGCGACTAACGCGTGCTTCCCGGTAATGATATCGATTGCTAGCAAGGCAACCGGTTCCGGCGGAGTGAGGAGAGACGTCGCCTCTCTCCTTGCGCAACTCAGTTTCCCGAGTTAGCTGGACGGGGTACGCGTGCCTTGCCCTTTTCGGGCCATTGTGCGGTCGTGTGAGTGACACCATTGCACCAAAGGCAAAATCCGTACCGTTGACGAAGATCAAATACTTCCTTGGTTATGTTGTATGCCGTCCATGGTTGCTGCCCAGTTCCCGTTGAGGTCGTTGCTTGTGCCGCCGGTTTCTTTCGAGCTCTCTTGGGACGCTTCGACGGGAGTGCTGCAAGAACTCCTCCATCACCCGAGTATGCTGCTGCAGCGTGGAGGTCTAGTGATTCATCCGGAATCACCGCATTGTTATGCGTCGGCCGTTGGTAGTCGTGCTTAGCCACATATTGCGGCTGGGACTGCTTCTCGTTAGCGGCCTTGTCGTACGTTTGGATGACCAGGTTTGCACGGTCCAGAATGGCCTGGAATGAGGCATAATCGTACTCGTTGCCGAGTGTCGTTCGCAGTCCTGCGCACGATCGTGAGAAGAATCGGATCGTTGGTTTGGGAAACTCAAATCGAAGCCTGGCGTGGTCACTATCTCCTGCCACTTGATCGTCCAGTCTCGAGTCGGCATGCTTCCTTGTGAGCAAGTGTAGACCTCGTTCATGGCCGCCTTCACAACATTGCGGACCATAAAACGGGTGTTCCACAGCTGCTCAAAATCCTCCCACGTGAGGTGTTTGTGTAGCTCGGCGATAGTGGTTTCCTTGTTAACCGCGAGGTGGTTCATCCACGCCTGCGCACCTCCAATGAGTTGGAGGTATAGTGCCTTCATCATGTCCTCGGCTGGGACCTTGTGGCAGGACGCTTCGGTGAGGAAGGCTTGCCACCATGTCAAAGCGTCGATCTTGTTGTAGTCGTCAAACTTGCTGGTGTTGAAGCGTGGCATCTTGTATACCTTCGCAGCTGCTGCCGGTTGCGACTGCAGTTTGGTGATGTCCGTCTTGATGGCGGCCACCGTGCTGTTGATCGTGGCCGGACTGGTGAAGTCACCTAGTTCGCCGATTAGATTGACGACATGGTCGATACACTCGCCGAGCTGTTTCGCCGTGTCTGTCGTGCAGCCTGGCGCTGCTTGGGAAGCCTTGCCTCCAGAGCAGCAATGCGGGTGTCCATCTGTTTCAGCTGGGAGTCCGCTATCTTGACGGCTGCTGCAAGCGTCTTCACGTTATGGGTAAGATCGTGCTGCAGCTGTCGTGTAGTCCTGGAATGAAGGTCACCCATGGTGCTGTTCCAGATAACTGCACGCATCGTGCATAGTAGAATGTCTACCAGGTTTTGTCTCTCCTGCTGTACTGCCGTCGGCTCGGCGCCTGCTACGGGGACATAACGCATCCCGTTGAGTACAGTTGCCCACTGATCCTGTTGAGAGATCAGAAGTTCGGCACTGTCGGCGTTGAGCTTGTCGGTCACCAACTGCTCCGCCTCAGCTTGTCGCTGGGCTTGGGCTGCAGCTTCTGCTGCCAGCCTCTGTTTGTCTGCTTCGGTAGCATCTTGTCGTTCCTTGGCAAGGGTTAGTGAGTCCGTATACGTCTTCACTCTCTGAATGTAGTCCGATATGGACTCGTTCGGCCCTTGAACAGGACAGACCGGCAGGGGTTTGGCATTACTAGATGTCGAAGTCTCAGACGATGTTCCACTGTTAGGCGTGGTTGCCATCTGTGTGCTGGTCTGTGGCTGCTGTCGAACTGCAGGTTGCTGTTGGAGATCTGCGATCCGTTTGCTGCGTCGTGGCTGCTGTTCGGTGGCTTGCCCAGTTGGCATCAGGAAACTGCTGCTGAAGGCTGGCTGGTCCGAATGGTCGCAGAACAGTAAGAGGGAGAGGGTGGGCACAGGGGTAGAACAGATCAAGCAATTCGCATACAGTCCCTGTCCCAATTATGGACTTAGACACCTAATCAAAAGGAAAAGGATAAACTTTCCCCAAAACAACTTAAAAATTCGTAATAAGAAATAATAACGAATTAATAATCAATAAATTTTAATTAATGATTAATAACGAATTAATACTTTCTTAATAATAATCAAGAAAACAATAATTGCAATAATGATAATTAACGAATTTATAAATTGTGAAAAGATTAGGTATCTGTTGAGATCACCTATGGTCCGGGAGTTCACCATTGATTAGTGAACTACCCGGAAGTTGCAGTTCTGAGGAAACGATTCCGAACAGTTGGCCAAAAAAATTTTTCCGGATAATCGGGAAGAAAAACACTCGAATTTTCGAAGAACGTAAAATTTCGGGAATTTCAACCTACAAAAGTCCGATTTTCAAAGGCCTGAGTCCGTATTCAGAATTTCTCAAACTAGGGCAAGAAAAAAAAATTAGCGAAAATTTCGGATTCCAACCCTAATTTTCCGCGATTTCGCGGAATTTCCGGTTTTACGGTTCCAAAACATTCGAATTTCCCACTTTGAACGCAAAATCAAAATTTATCGTAACCCTAATTTCCAATACCAAAATAAAACAGAAATACCGATTTAAAACCGAAATACCGAATTAAAAACGGAATACCGAATTTGAAATCAGAATGCCGAATTAAAACAGAATACTGATCTAAACAGAATAACGAATTAGAATCAGAAGACCGAATTAAAACAGAATATCGGATTAAACAGAATACCAATTAATCGGAATACCGAATTAAACAGAATACTGATTTAAAACAGAATCCCGAATTAAAAGTCAGAATACCGAATTGAAACGGAATGCCGAATTAAACAGAATCCCCAAAAAAAAAAAAAAAATTGAAACTTTGAATCTCGATAGTAATGCAGAGCTGATTTGGAAGATCGAATAAGCAATCTATTCCTAAATCAGACTTACCTTGTGAGCAGATCCATTATTTGGTCTGCTCCGATACCAAAACTGTTGCATACTAGTGAATACTTCAACAAGTATG